AAAGATGCATATTTGAAGGATCTAGTGAGAAATCCTGATCTGTGTGTCACTGTACTCTGTTCTCTTCTGAGGCTTTATGCTATGATGAACCCACCGTCCTGTCTCTGAGGTTTGCTGGCTCTTTGCCTCCACCTGAATTGTCATCTCACATTGATTCAAGCATTACTGGAGCACAAAGGAGAGCGAGAGACTCACTTTCTTTCACCACGGCAAAAAAATTGGATTGTTTTCTTTTGCATGGCGGGGCCTGTGATCTGTGTGTCACTAATATCATTTCTCTTCCTCTCCTTTTTCCCCCTCTCCCTTTCTCTTTTTGTCCTCTGTCTCCCTCTGAATCCTCTGGTCCCTTTTGTGTCTGCTTCTTCCCTGCGATTTCCACCCTCTACTGCTGCTGCTTGTTTTCTCAGGAGGTATGTACGGTCAGAGTTGTTGTAGTTAAAACAGTTGTAGAAACAGTAGCCACATAGTTTGCTGTAAGAATGTAAACTAGACTAATATTTCTTCCACTTTAACCGCTAAAGAAAAATAATTTCCCTCTCACTCATCCGACCATGTTGTTGTTTTTCAGGTGGACGGGTGAAAACCTGGAAACGGCGGTGGTTCATTCTCACAGACAACTGTCTTTATTACTTTGAATACACCACAGTAAGTCTTGGTTCCCTCTCTCGTGTGACACATCTAGATGTATCAGGTTCAGTAAACACGATTCTGAAAAGCTTTGGATGGTTACTGTGTTTAGTCACGAGTGTATTTGTATTGTTAGTTCTGCTAAACTATTATAGAATTTAGAGCATTTTTTGATTATTTTGCGATAAATTGTTCTGAACCCCATCTACATAGAAGATTTAATTAGTGAAATAATACATATTTAGTAATATGCATTTAATAAGACAGTAGATTGGTTATTTAACCTGGCTTGTCATATTGGTTCTGAATTAAGTGTGGTAATTTGTTTAAAGACAACAACCTGACAATTATTGAAGAAATTATTGTTTGGACTTTAATTGTTCTCTTTAAGTCCTCTTGGGCCTGATAAATAAAATCATTTTTGTGTGTTTCATTAACAGGATAAGGAGCCGCGAGGTATAATTCCCTTGGAAAACCTAAGTATCCGTGAGGTTGAAGATCCAAGGAAACCAGTAGGTTTGCTTTCCTGGTTAACTTTATAGTCAAGTCTAAGTATCATAATTGTTGTTCTAAGCTTCCTTCTCCTTCTCCCAAAAGAACTGCTTTGAGTTGTACATCCCCAACAACCGCGGTCAGCTGATCAAGGCGTGTAAGACAGAGGCTGATGGGAGAGTGGTGGAGGGGAACCACATGGTGTACCGCATCTCCGCCCCCACACCAGAGGAGAAGGACGAATGGATCCATAGCATCAAGTACGTAAATAGAAAATGAATTTCCTTTTCCCACTGCCGAGATGGTGCATGCACCTTTTAATTGCTCATTCACTAATATTTCTTTGTCCTCCGTCCAGATCTGCCGTCAGCGTGGATCCCTTCTATGAAATGCTCGCAGCCAGGAAGAAACGTATATCACTGAAGAAGAAGGAGGAACAACCGTAAATGATCCCCTTCATTCACTTCGTCTTCCTCTGTCCTTCACGTCTCTCCTTCCAACACAGGACACATTTTTTCTCTGCTCTTTGCTACCTGCGGTCGTAGGTTTTGTTTTGCCACCTTCCCTCACGCATCCAGAGTGAAGAGCTCATCCACTATGGCTGCTTGTTATCTTAGTTCTTAATGCTACTGCTGTTATATTCAACTCAACACACTATAGCCACAACACGTCTGTCCTGTCCTCTCACCACATCTCTCATTCAGCATTTAATTAAACTGTGAAACAAGTCATAAGCCATATTCACACTAATGCAGACCATTTCAAAAACAGCTTTCCTGTTTTGGCCTTTAATTTATTCACCAAATGTGGACAAATTTACAAATGTTGGGAACAAGTAGGATTCAAAAAGGCTATGATTTCCATAATTTCTGGTTGTCCTGATTATTTTAAGAATCGTATTTAAGTGTTATTTCTTTCACACAGTTAATTCACAAAGTAAATACTTACTATTGTTGGTGCATGCCTAATGAAAGGCATCTTATATTTGTGTATTTTATTGGCTTCTCAGCATCTATAAGATTCACAACCTAAAAAGTCTATTGTGGATCAAAAGCGTTCAGAGATGTGTCACCATTAGTGTGAATATTGTTTTATTCAGGTTAGCAAGCAGCTTCAGTTTTTCATGAATTCTTCTTTCAGATGGATGAATGCTGTCTAAATGAGAAATTGCCTTTCTTGATTGTCCTTACCCCAGACAAAATGTGAATTCACAACTCAAACACACTACATGAAGTTACATTTGGTCAGGAAGGAGGAAAAACAAAAGCAGCAAATGATTTTAGAATTTCTGCGATGTGTCCATTACTCAACAGCTTTAGGCACACAATACATCTGTCCATTGTAAAATCAGCTCTTATATACTGTAACCATTATGTGAGGAAAATGTCACCAGGCAGCTGATGATCTTAAGATATGATTGCTCCTTGAGATAAAATAAATCACTGAAGTATTAAAGGACCAGTGTGTAGGATTTAGAGGAATATGTTGGTGTAAAAATTAAACATTAATAAGTTTTTATTTGTGTATAATCACCTGACACTAGGGTTTATCTAGGGTGGGTCCTTCACAGCTACATAGAGTGAAAGGTCTTTTCCACACATTTACGCCATATTGCATCATCACATTTCTGCAGTTAGTAGAAGCAGACAAAACGAACTACAGCTCTGGATATGACCTTTCTTGTTTTTGGCCACTTTAGATTCTCTTGCATGCTTATGAAGGGAAGGGGGATAGTTGGGGTATTATGTTGGTCGCAATTTGCTATCTTACCACTAGATGTCAGTAAATCCTACATACTGGTCTTTCAAATAGTTAGTCTCCTTGCTAACAGCTGCTTTCAGCTCACAGAGAAAACTTGTATATTTTCTTCAGCATGTTTATTAACATGTCTGAAAACAAGTGAAATAGAAACCCAGTCCAGGGCTTCGTTATCCATTCCTTTATAACACTATATTGAACAGTTATCATCATGTCCTCTCATATTTAACCTTGCAGCATGCCATAAATCATTTCCTGCTTGTTCAGCACTACAAGACAACCACTGAACTCTCTCTCTCTCCAGTAATAACATCCCTTAGAGCTGGATCTTTCCGCTTACACAAGTTTCATGAATCACAAAGGCAGCTCATTACAATGTATACTTTTTGTACATAGATGTTAGCATATTTGTTTACGATACACATAGAAATGATTTAATTTATTCTTTATCTTTTGTTAAATTCTGATTTTTGTACGAGCTACTGTAGACCTGCATGTTGATAAACGGAGGCATCGGTTGTAGTCACCGATGCGTTGCTGATCATGCTAGTGCACTGAATTGAAAAGTGTTAGTGTTCCCTGTTGAAATTGCATTTAATGTGGAAGCTGATTTATGCCTAAAGTAAATTGTCACTATTATAGTTTCTTTGGATAAGATAATTAGGAGATTTCGTCTGATTTAATTCCAGATCTTGTTGTAAATCAGACTTAGTAAAGCACAAACAGAAATTATTCTCACTGTCTGTTAAACTAATGTTTTTCTTCCATTGGCGTCTGCTGTCCTGCAGTTGTTCATCATATTACAATGATAAAAACGAACAGACAACAAAACAAGGAACACTAATAAATCTCTGATCCATTACGTGATAGTAAAATCATATAGATGTAATGAATCACTAACAAGTTTAGCTTTGTGTCCAGTGATAGATTTGCTTGACTTCCAGTACATAAACTGTTATTTCTGGTAGTTTATCGAAGTTGGCATTTTTAGATGGTAGGAACAATTATCTACTGCACTTTATCGATTTTAGCATTTTGAAGAAAATGCTGTGACTTTGACTGACGATACAACTCTGGTACTCTGTAGCGCCCTCTACTGGTGGTCCCACAGAGACACAAATACGCGCACACTGCAATATGCTGATGGGTGAATCACGAACTGTGTTGAAATGTACAACGCCATCTGCTGGTCAGTTCCAGCCGTAGCCGCAACAGTTTCTGTATTAGCTCATCCGATAGAGATTGTGTTGCATGAAGCTGAACGGAGTCTTTTCTGTGTGATCCAAACATTTCCACCTTTTTTTTTTTAAAGCCAGTGATTGGTTGTTCGAGCACAGATCAATGATTGCCTGTTACTCTCCCACTTCATCAAACTGACCTGAAGGCCTAATTGTATAACCATGTTTGTGCTTGCACACAGCACATGGGCTGTCTGTAGGCCTCCCCCTTCTGGGTATTCTTGAAGTGCAAAGTTGCCAAAAAACGTACTGTCCGGACACATAATGTTTCCTTTATAACAACAGAATGAACACAGAAACGATCCAACCAAAACTGGTCCTCTGTCTCTGATTCCTTTGACCCCCACAGTCACCTCTTTAAGAAAACACCTTTATTTTGTATTTATTTATTTTTATTTACTGTGAGGTGAAGAGGGATAGATTATCTGTACATGTAGCAAAAGGAAAAACACGATACATTGGTGCCAGAAAACTACTGTGTAACAATAAACGGTGAACAGAGATGACGGACTCGTGGTTTTGTTTTTGTTGGTTTTTGTCTGATATTTCATTTGTGTGATGAAGTGTTTGTTTAATTGGGATATTAAGTCACATTAGTTCAGTACAATTTGGGCCTTTGCAGTTGTAGGAGTTCATGAATTGATGGAAAGATAAGAACTTTGGAAGATGTCTCTGAGACTAAACAGTTTTTTCGCTGGTTGTCGTCTTCATTGTGGCGAAACATGAATATTTTTAAATTAAAACTGTGATAATCAGTAAATAGCCCAGAAGAGACACTGTCACCACACACTGAACTCTACAAAGAACGAAAGGCAAAGACATATCTTTCACACTTTTATTTACATTTACAAAAGTGTAACATTACATCAATAACGTGGCCTGAATTAAGGGTTTTATATACAGAAGAGTAACAGATCATTTCAGAAATTAAAGCCACAGAGCAATGACCTTATAACACAAAACACATCAGTCAGATTTCAAGTTAAAATCAAATTGAAAATAAAATGAGAAATATCAGTGATCTGTTTAGCATCGTACAATATACAAAAGTTAAAAAAAATCTTGTAATACACTTATTTTCTTAATGAAGCCCTTTTGCAATATACAATTGTGACAGGAATCCATGTATTAATAATAATTAGTAAATCTAGTCCCTGTATTAAATAGCCCCTGTAAGTAAAAACCAGCAGATTCTGTAAAACAAAATCTGACTGACTTCTCATTATTTCTTTCAAAAATAACATGTTTATCTACAGATGATAAAAACAGTAATTCTACAGTTTCTTTGGTAAGTTAGCTGTATATCATCAGTGGAAACCTTTTAGAAAAAAGAGAATCCAGAGTAGAAAAAAGATTTCTATCAGTATCATACTAACAAGATAATACTTTGTCACTTCACCACAACAGAACTCACAAAGGTCTGTGAACATGATCACAGACGCCACAGTCTTATTAACAATATGACAATATGTCACATACAGCACTTATCTGTTTAAAATAAAACACTAGTTCATGAACGCATTCGATTATGGTCAGTCACTAAGATCCAACAGCACCACAGTCCCTACACACAATCTGTAAACACAGACCAGTCTGTTTAATTTGAAATGTTTTATTTTTTTATTAAAGAGTCACTGATGAAGCTAAGATCAAGGCAAAGATTCAAAGAGTGAAGCAGTTGAGGGATCATCCTATCAAAGGGACCGTCTTCACTCTCTGTTGTTTCTGTATCAGTTATTCTCATTATGTTGCAGCCCCCCCCTTCGCTGGCCTCTCAGTGACAGGGGTCAAAGGGATATCTGGCAACTCCTCCGTGAAGCTCCACCTCAGCGTCGGACCATGCGATGACGTCTCCTCTCAGGTAGCTGCCGCAGGAGGCCAGGCTGTAGATGTCACTGGCGCTCAGGACGTTAGACCACATGTGGAGGTCGGACATCTCACCCACGTATGACTGAGTGGCATCGAAACGCCCTCCCAGTGTGTCCTGTGGGAATAATCAAATCTTTTTTTAACCTTGTGGGACAGTTGGATCATTTACGTCAATATTATAAAAGATTTGGGGAATTGAAAAAGTAACAAATAGCACAAATATCTGTATCTAACAATTTTCTGTGTTTCAAAACTGAATTTTCTCACAGGTACATATTTCTAACTTTGACTGTTAAGTTTCTCTGCATCTTAAAAAAAACAATCCTTGCTCTGTCCATTGCAGTCTCTTTACCTGTTCCTGTCCGAGGATGAAGACCCCTCCAGGTCTGATGGGGCGCCAGGGAGACAGATTGATCCCGGACCCTCTCTGCACTCCGTCCTGGTAGGCCTCCCACTGTCCGTCCCGGGTTGACCAGGTCACACACACATGGTGCCACTTCCCGTCACTCACAGAAAGAGGCAACGTCACTGCCTGCGTATGAGACAGAGAGGTAAGACTCAAACGTCCTAGAATAATATATTTAAAATACATAAACTAATCTATTCTTCCTTTTCAACCAGTCAGCTGACAAGTTGTTAAAATACAGTCGCTCACAGTAAGAATTCATTGAGTAAACAGATTTTTAGTGTGTTTTCCACTGTAGCTCAGAATTCCAGGTCATTTTTGAATTTCCATACGGGGATTAATAAAGTACTTCTGATTCTGATTCTGATTGGTTGTCTTCCCTCACCTTGTCGTCGATCAGCAGCTCTAAGGGGTTGTTCCCCCACTCAATCAGCACTAGTTCATTGGCCTGTCCGGGGGCAGAGTAAGAGAAGGGCGTCCCCAGGTCGTGTCCAGCACCCGCCTTCATCCAGAGACACAGAGTCAGAGCGAAGATCTCCTGCAGCAGAGTCTTCTTCAGCCGCCCGTACATGTAATTAGTTCTCATGGGGAAGCTGATCTGGAAAGCATCAGGACTGCTGGAACCTGTTTTAAAGGAAACGTAACGTCATTCCTGGACAGAGTCTCAACTCAAGGTTTAGTATCTGCTCTAGTCTGGAGCTTTCACTCGCATCACATGATCTTTCTCAGCCTCTTTAGTTTTCACTGTTATCATGAAATTGGAACAGAGTGTTTTAGTTTTTTTTTATTTTAAAAATGAGCTGGAGTGATGTACCAAATAACAGAAAACATTCTCACACTATACCTGGTCACATACATGCTCAGCTTTATTAACAGGACCTTGATGTGACTCATTTGTTATTTTCAGTGTTCTGATGTTGTGTACCTGTGAAGTGCAGCTGGTTGAGCACTGTCTCCAGTTTATTTGAGTGGAAACCAGTTCGAGGCCCTGGAGCTCTGTATCCTGTGTGTGAAAGGTAACTTTGACTGTCTGCTTCATTATCGTGATGGTCATCATCATCATCATCATCATCTTCATCATGGTCGTCATGATGACCATCTTGTGCATTGTGGCCGTCATCGTGGTGATCGTCGTGGTTCCCACTGTCGTCGTGATCATCGTGGTGGCCGTCGTTGTGGTCGTCGTGGTCGCTTGGGTGTCTGTCACCGTGGCGGTCGTCGTCGTGATGGCCGCTGTCGTCGTGGTGCTCGGGGCTGTTGAGGGCGGCGGTGCGATGGTGCAGCTGCTCCTCCAGAGTGTTGATCTTCCTCTGCAGCAGCTCCTTCAGGGAGCTGGAGTAGGCGATGGACGTGTTCCTCTTCTGCAGAGGGCGATCAGAGAAGGACAGAGGTGAAGTCTTGAGCATTTCCTGTCACCTAAGCTCCTGTGATTCCTACTTGCAACAGACCGTTTAACAGACAGTAAACTGAGAGGACCTCTGAGCTGCTTTGGCATAGAATCAAACCGGCATCAGGGAATCAAACGTGCTGGTTTGTCACCTTAGAAAACACTTGTGTGTATTTTGCATTTCTTTATCTGTGATTTACAGTCACTAATTATCTTGCTTTTGTCGAAGCAGCAGTCTGGTTTACTTTGTCATCCCTCTAACATTCATTGTGTCTTCCTGTGTCTGCCTCTGCTTCTCTTCCTCTCAGGTAATCCAGGCTTTGTTCAGCTGCATGCCCTGATTACTAGTCTGTCAAGGGAGATCACGTTAATTACCTCTGATCTTAGACCCGTGCCACCCGACCGACAAACACGCACGCACACACTACAGCCCCTGACACCTGTCTGCGATCACGACCCGAGGAGACAAATTAGAAAAAGGACAGCGAAATTCACCAGGAGAGTCAAAACTTCAGGTAGCTTAAGAGAAATCCAGGCTGGAAAACCTTTAGATTTCATCCACAAGTTAAATCAATCATCTTACATCTGTGACGTCCATGTCTGAGCCTGTGGCTGCTCTGAGGCGACCCCACTGAGGGACTTCAAAGTGTCTCTCTTGCCATCATAGCAAATGGCTTTATGAGCTTAAGCAATTCATTGTCCCTTTGTCTTAAGGATTAGCAGACACACTACTGTGGGATTTGTTTAATCGACAAACAATCTGCTGACGACAGCATTAATGTGTCCAAACAAGGGAAAGTTTTCTTGCATCTCAAGCCCCGTCCTCCACTTTATATATATTTTACTATAAGACGTGTTTTAAATGCACATGCCTTCCAATTCTGTAGTTGTGTAGATATTATTTGCAGGTAAAAAGTTGGAAAAGTTTTGTTTCTCACCTGTAAGTTGTCCAGCCTCTCCTTCAGCGCCTGCAGCATCCTCTCCATCTGCTCTGGTGACGATGAGATTTCCCCCGGTGCCACATGTTTATCCTTCCCCTGGTTGTTGCTGCTGTGACCTCCATCAGATCGTTGGCCCCCTACAGAGGGGCGGTGCGGCGAGTCTGGTATGAGGTTGCTGTTCCCATGGTGACCCTGCTGGTTGCTATGGTGCCCGTGGTCAGTGTTAGTGTGATGACTGGCCGCCCCTGCGTGGTGGGAGTGTGAGGCTGTGCTGTGGTGCTCATCATGAGGCGCCACGCCGCGGCCAAAGCCCTCGCACAGGGTGAGCTTGGCCGTCAGCTCCCTGATGGTCTCCCTCTGGTCCAGGATGGTCTCTTTCTGCTGCACAAGGCTCTCCCTCAGGTGGAGGATGGTGGCCTTGGCCTCCTCGCTCGCCCCCCACCATCCAGCAGGAGGCGCATTTTGATAGCCTGGTCCACTGGGCCCTGTTGGACCTGCGCTTGGACTCGCTGTGGGGAAGCAGGCAGGGTCTGCATCCACGGGAAGAGGGGTGCAAACGAAGCGTGGTTGCGCTCTGTAGTCATGGTCCGAGCCTGAACTGGCCGATACTCGACAAAGGAGGAGCGAAAGTAGAGAAAACACAATGGGAACAAGGAAGAGGTGAAGAAACTGAGAGTTCCTCATCATCTCCATCCACAGTTCAGCCACAAACACTATGGAGTTTGGCTTGATTTCAAAACGTGCGATGCCAGTTGGAGTAAAGACTCTTTTGACTTCTGTGTTGTTGTAAAGGCAACATCAGGGAGCAAGATAACAAAGTTCTCCAAGTTTCCACTCATCTGTGAAGAATGGATCAAACTTTTATCCGTCACTGAAGAACCGAATAAACCTGGAAGACAAAACATGAGATCTTAGATAAAGGTCATTCAGAGAAGGGGGGGGCACACGATAATAAGACCATGTATCCAATAAGGGATTTTTAGAGTCTGAACCTTAATCGTGCTAAAAAGGCTGAGCGTGACAACTCGGCTCACTCTGTCTGACCTGTAACCTTACACAGTGGACCTGTGCCAAAACAAGCAGAGGCTGCCCAGACACGATTAGTCCGAATCAGAGGTCGGACATCCTGACCAGACCTGCATCAAGACTTCTGCAGGTCTGAGTAGATGGCTTCCAGTGGTTGGTAGAGGAACCCATGATTTTATTTAATATTGAACAATGAATTGTTGAGTTTGGTTCATTCGGACGATGGTAAAAAATCTGAACAGCACTGATGCATTTCCAGATATTAATGTATAATTTAGCTCCATGACAGGGATCGCACAGGGTGACTGACCTCTCTGTAACTGTAACATGTCCTTCATTATACATGGTCGGCATTTTCAAATGGCACACACGTGATGTGGTCACTAAACCTCAGTGACCACCTGCTGCTTACAGTGAGCGACCTCAATGTTGTGAATGTATCTTAGTGTTTGTGTGTGTGTGTGTGTGTGTGTGTGTGTGTGTGTTTGTGTGTTTCTAGTTCATACATGATTTACTGAACTTTATCAATAATAGTGAAGAGTGAAAATGCACATACAAAACAAAGATCACGTCTGCCCTCACAGAAAAATACACAAATGCCAATTTATAAATAGATCTTTAAATGAGCTTCAGAAAGTTATTTCATTTATTTGAGAAACATCTTTGTAACAGTGTGTTAAGGTGAAACGGCCTCTGCACCAAACCTCTTGTCTCTGCAGCTCTTCTTGTGATTTGCGGGGCTTAGAGAGGAGAGACAGATGGTCGAGGCACAGAACCGTGTCACACCCAATCTCCACTATTTAGCCCTAAGTTTATTATCACCCACAGGGCCCTCAATTAAACTAATTGCAAACAGTTGTTGTGCTGCCTTAGCCATAGATAAGTGAGCGTCCTCAGCCTAGCACACTGCCGTGTGTGTGTGTGTGTGTGTGTAAAGTAATCCATGGTGAACACCGGGGTCGTGCCCCCTCCCTGCACCATATGGTCAAGATGGATATTTAATTAGTGCCATTAGTTCCAAATTAAAACCCGCAGCAGTCAGACCTGTGATTAAAACACAGTTCCCTCTGATAAATGAAGCACTTTCCATTTGTAAACAAAGAGATTCTTACTCGACAGAGAAAACTTAACGTTAAAACTACAATCATCCCTGTGCATTATGGGATTAATGTCAGCATCGTTATCTCTGCAGGAAGTTCAACCACAATTAGTTGAGACACTTTGACCAAACAGAGAAGTCTTTAATCCAAATGCAACTGCTGGTGATTTCTATTCTTGTATCAAATGGCCGACCCAACATTAAATTGCTGCTTTACTAAAGGCTGTGTGATGCCACAGCAACAGAGCTGTTGATAAACCTTCCGTAAAGATTGATTTTTAACCGTGCTATATACAGTATTGTGTTGATTTCCAGTGTTATATATGAATACAATGGCTTTTACAATGTATTATCAGAAAGAAATATTAAAATGCTCTTTGTTATCTATCTGTTAGACCAGACTCTGGGTGTTGTTTATAGGATTGTATATACGATTATGTTTAGTCATCCATAAAAACAACATTTACATTTTAACTACAGGGCTCCATTCCTCATCAACCAGCACAGAATAAAAACTATTTCACTGTAAACATTTAAAAAACATCCAAACAACATAGAAATAAACAGAAGAGTAGGTGCAATGCAATTCACTCAGATGTGACCAAGATCTCTGAGAATACATGTAAGTAAATGAAGAAATGCTTTCATCAGC